CTATCTTTTACAGTGGTCGGGCATTGAGTCTGACTCAACTTCACACCTTGTAACACAGGCAAGAACCCTTTCTTTGACTGATGTATTTTGAACTTCTTCAAAGTTTATCAAGGTATGTGCTTTGTGAAAGTCCAATTAAGCGTCATGATCTATCTCTATAGATCTTGATGCCTAATATATAAGCAGCTTCACCGAGGTCGTTAATTGAAAAATTCTTATTCAAGTATCCTTTTATGCTATCCAGAAATTCTGTATTATTTCCAATCAACAATATGTCATCCACATATAATATTAGAAATGCTATAGAGCTCGCACTCACTTTCTTGTAAATACATACTTCTCCAAAAGTCTGTATCAAACCATATGCTTTGATCACACTATCAAAGCGTATATTCCAACTCCGAGAGGCTTGCACCAGTGCATAAATGGATCGCTAGAGCTTGCACACTTTGATAGCACCTTTAGGATCGACAAAACCTTCTGGTTTCATCATATACAACTTTTCTTTAAGATATCCATGAAGGAATGCAGTTTTGACATCCATTTGCCAAATTTAATAATCATAAAATGCGGCAATTGCTAACATGATTCGGACAGACTTAAGCATCGCTACGGGTGAGAATGTCTCATCATAGTCAACTCCTTGAACTTGTCGAAAACCTTTCGCAACAAGACGAGCTTTCTAGACAGTAACATTACCGTCAGCGTGAGTCTTCTTCTTGAAGATCCATTTATTTTCAATGGCTTGTCGATCATCGGGCAAGTCCACCAAAGTCTACACTTTGTTCTCATACATGGATCATATCTCATATTTCATGATCTTAAGCCATTTATCGGAATCTGGGCTCATCATCGCTTCCTCATAGTTCGTAGGTTCTTCATGGTCTAGTAACATGACTTCTAGAATAGGATTACTGTACCACTCTGGTGCGGACCGTACTCTGGTTGACCTACGAGGTTCGGTAGTCACTTGATCTGAAGTTTCATGATCATCATCATTAACTTCCTCACTAATTTGTGTAGGCATCACTGGAACTGATTTCTGTGATGAACTACTTTCCAATTCGGGAGAAGGTACAATTACCTCATCAAGTTCTACTTTCCTCCCACTCACTTCTTTCGAGAGAAACTCCTTCTATAGAAAGGATCCATTCTTAGCAACGAATATCTTGCCTTCAGATCTGTGATAGAAGGTGTACCCAACAGTTTTTTTTGGGTATCCTATGAAGACACATTTCTCCGATTTGGGTTCGATCTTATCAGGTTGAAGCCTTTTCACATTAGCATCGCACCCCCAAAGTTTAAGAAACGACAGCTTAGGTTTCTTGCCAAACAACAGTTCATATGGTGTCGTCTCAACGAATTTAGATGGTGCCCTATTTAACGTGAATGCAGCCGTCTCTAAAGCATAACCCCAAAACGATAGCCATCTCTATAGCTCCCCTGTTTTATTTTTGATATGTTCCTAGAGAAAACTAAGTTGAAAGATGATATGTCCCATCCATGTGTAAGTGGTAGTGATGGGAGATAGTTTTTTTTCTTTTTTCTTTTCTTTGGGTGGGTCCCACCTGTATGTGACATAGGCAGCGAGGGGAATTGGCCCATTAAAAAATGTCCATTGATTTTGGAAAAAGTTTATTGGTTCAAAACAAATTCATGAACATGAAAAAGGTTCACATATTTGATTAAAAAGTTTATAAATTTTTTAAAAAAATCGTGAATTTAAGAAAACATTCATAAACATTTAAAAATTCACAAAATTGAACAAGTTAATGAATAAAAAAATATTCAGAAAATTGCAAAGTTAGGGAAGTTCATGAAAACCAATCAAACAAAAAAAGTTCATGTATTTAGAAAAAGAAAAGGAAAAGGAACAAAACAAATAAAAAGGAAAAAAAGCCAGGAAGGCTTCGCAAAACCAGCAACCGGTCCATTGAGTACCTATAAATGGGTCGGCCCACGGAGAATCGATCATGAGAGGGTGTGTATGAGGTTTGAAAACGTTTGTAAGAGCATCTACAACCAAACGCTTCAAACCATCTCTCATACGCCCGCAGACGCGTCCGATCAGTGACCGAACAAAAGAAGAGAGAACTAATCGGACAGAAGAGAGAAAGAAAAACGTGACCCAATCTCACCCCTCATATCATTCCTATATGCCTCCGGGCTGTTCATGAACGCTCATATATATCTTAAATATAAGGAGGATAGGAGGGCTCGCAGACGCGCCCGGACAGTCCGTCACGTAGAACGCGGCCCCATCATGGACCATCTTTTCTCTTTCTTTCTTTATTTTTTTATTTCTCTCTCTTCATCTCCACCAATCACGTGCAAGTGACTGGACATATGAGGAGAAAAATAAGAAGTGTGGCTGCGCGGACGAACAAATAGGGGCTCAAAACGGACACGCCTGATCACTGACCGGACGCGTCCGTGGATGTTCAAGAGGTCATATTTGCTTTTTTCGGCTGTAGATGCGCTGAATGACGTTAAAGACGTCGAATAGGAATTGGCATGAACTATCACTCATATGAGATGTCGAATAGGAATTGGTAGGAAATGTAGCCCTCATATGAGATTTTATTTTTCACGGTAGAATGCTTCCGGAGACAGATGATTCCATAACTTCCCTACATAATGCCGCCTCAGTCCCCCTTCTCTTCCCAGTCCGGCCTTGATGGCGGCTAGAGGAGTGGAGACCTATCTGTCTCTTTTGCAGGTGTTTTTTCCTCAACATCACCGAGGTGGTGACCATGATGGCTAGTTTTAATAATACTTCATGACACTTACTTCAGATCGGAGAGGATTCATGAATTTAGTTTATATTTAAACTACAACCATGACACTTATTTTTGAGTGGGACTAGGAGATTGGATGAAAACCTGACCAGACATCTTTTTCTTATCCATGATGTAGAGGAGATCCTAAAGTTGCGCACTCTTAGAATGGGCGAGGGAGATTTTATTGCTTAGCACTACGAGAAAAGTGGTTATTTGTCGGTGAAGAGTGTGTATAGTCTGGCTTTGGATCATAAGGTTCCAAAGATCGATTTAGGCAATTTTAGTGGTGCCATGAATGGGAATAGGAGGCTCTGAAATATAATTTGGAATGCTAATGTTTTCCAAAAAGTTAAATTTTTTACGTAGAGGGCTGCTTCTAATAGTTTGACGGTTCAAGTTAATAGGGTCAAACATCATCAATCTATTTTAGGTACGTGCTCAATCTGTGATACTGAAAATGAATGTATTTTTCACGCATTGGTGAGTTGTCCCAAGGCTAATGTGCGTTTCGTATGGCGTCGAAGGAAGTGTGGAATTTACCATTTGAGGAGATTTTCAAATATTCTGGACCGGAATGATTTCTTATTTTATTGGATCAATTAAATTCGCTTGTGCATGAGCAAATTATTAAATTATTTTCATGTTCTTGAGAGTTTGATATCTAAGAAAGATTTGATCTTTAGTAAAGGAACATAATCCATCTCAGCCTCAGTGAGCTTCGTAGAAAATTATTGGACATCTTTCTCGTCTTATCATGCTAGATTGCAAGGGAAGACAGTAAAGATAAGCAAGTGGAGCTGAAATTTCAGCAAAGCATTAATATTGAGAGGAAGGTTATTCATTGGCAGCCCCCCGTCTCAGCAAAGCACTAATATTGAATCTCAGCAAAGCACTAATATTGAGAGGAAAGTTATTCGTTAGCAGCCCCCCATCTCAGAGGTCTACAATATTAATATAGCACTAATATTGAATCTCAGCAAAGCACTAATATTGAGAGAAAGTTATTCATTGGCAGCCCCCCATCTCAGAGGTCTACCCCTCCTTTCTAATTTATAAGGCTTAATTTAAAAATCTCACCAATCAAGATAAATGATGAGTGGTGAAATATGTTTTGTAGTTTGCAAAAGCATCTAATTAATGCTTTTATTTTACTCAAAAAAATTATGTTTACGAATGCATTAATTGCAATGCAATGCATGCACGCAGTGCATGCATTGATTAGTTTTCTCTTCATACTTGCATGCAATGATTTAATGCACTTTGAAGTCTGAATATGTGATGATGAACAACCAAATTGAGCTTGAGATAAGCCCTATAAACCAAAAAAAAGAGAGTACAATATTAAAGGTCTACAATATTAATATCAACGTAAGAGTGGGTGGTTGTGAGAAACCATTGTGGACAAATTATTCTTTCTTTCTAGGATTGTATTAGAGTTTGTAAGAAACCATTGTGGACAAATTATTCTTTCTTTCTGAGATTGTATTAGAGTTTGCTATAGCGTCGAGGAAGCGGAATTTAGAGCGTTCCTATCGGCCTGTATATTAGTACAACACTAGACATGCCCATCATTTTGGAGGAAACTGATCGCTCCTTTGCTGCCTCTGTTCTTGGAAGAGATTGTATGGACAGGTCCTCCCTTGTTGATTTAAAGAAGGCGGTGGTAAATGTCTCAAAGATGCTGGTGAATTTACATATTTCAAAGATCAACATGAGGGCAAATTTAGAGGCCACCAGGTTGCAAAGTTTAGTTTTGATAATAGATATGATAATTTTCTTTTTCATTCTATTTCGTCATGGGTGACAAAGTTTGTAATGAATGATTGTATCAGACATTTTAAGTTGATTAATAAAAAAACCATGACACTTATTTTATTTGGTATAGGAGGAAACATTACATAAGGAGCATTTTTCGAAAAAGAGAAGATCGGAGGGAGCACTACATAAAGAGCATTTTCCGAAAAGAGGAGTCAAGTTGATCGATGCTATTACACAGCACTCGGGGTAACCAAAAAGGCTACTCTACTTTACATCGACGAACAAATATTTGGTACAACCACGGCGAAGCCTTGCAAATACTACAACAACAAAAACCTCGCTTTATTAAACACACGCTGAAAGTCGGAGAGACGAATCTCCCAGATTACATGACACAGCTTGACAAGCCAACGGCGGTACCTCGTGACAGATCACCACCGAAGACGAAGATGCTGCGGTCGATTAGATGGGGATTGCGCCGGTGACGCGAGGGTACACGACCCTGGCCGGGTGACCCATGATGCGGCGGCCCTTGCGGTGGCGGAAAAGGTACACGGCAGCACCCAGCGGCCACTCCACCACTCCGGCCACGACGAGCGCCACGAATCCCAGCGTCGGGCCGACCACCTTGCACCGGCACGGGTTGCTCCTCGTCCCGCACTGCACGCAGATCGGCACGAACGCCATTGTTGTCGCTGAACCAGCCTCTGCTAGTGCTGTCAGATAGAATGTTTGCGTCGCAGTTTGATGGATGGATAGATGCGCTAGAAATTGATGGTCCGCTTGCTAATCGTTGTGATGTGGTCGGTCTCTCGCATCTCGGGCATATATATAACGTCGTTGCGTTGAGGACGGTTGGCGCGACTGCCGGCACGCGTGGCGCTCGCAGCATGGTTGCAAAAAGTTGGTGATGACTCCGCTTGCTGGATCACTTCCACGTTGCACGGGACTCCGCTCACGTGTGTTCAGTTGTTCTTAGAGTTCTCTGGAACTTTCTCAACAAACGAAAGATGCACAAGCAACGGGACACGTAATTGCACATCAGACTATGTTCTATGTATAATAACATGCTCTCCTCAGCACCAGTTTGTGAAAAAAAAATAGCTCCAGTTTGTGAATTGACACTAGCGCACATGCCGTTATCTGATGATAGATGATGGTGAAACCCGATACGTCCTCGTATGGAAAAAAACGTATAGTGCACATGCCGTCAAACCATCAGAAAAAGCACTAATAATTGACATTTGAAACTGAAATTGCTTTTGAAGGCCGAGCTTCATGGAGGCATCTAAATGCAAAATGCAAAATTCATGAAAATTCATATTTTTACATTTAAAAAATTCTAAAGAAAATACTGACATACATGAGGGCATAATACACAAGTGTGTAAATTTTCAGGATGAAATATGTTGAGATAAGGGTTGTGCAAAAAAATCGAGGCTTTTTAACACGTGATACTATTCATTCTCTCAGATCATAAATTTGTTTTTGTTGTACAGGTCGCCACTGCATTGTATTTTATTCTGAAAGTTTACACGCATACACCTTATATCCTTGTTTACTTGTACACTTTTTTTTTTGAATTTTCCAAGATCCAAAACGCCATTCTATATGTATACATTACATAGTAAAATAATTTTACTAGTAAGATATATGTGCATAGCTTAGATATCCAACTATAAACTGATGAAAATTACCGTACAATGATTGTGTTACACTCTGGTGCTTCAATCATGTAGACATGTAAGTTTGGAGTTGTATATCTATAATGTGGCTGTAAAACCAACTCTAGGCCATACCCGATCCCCCGTACTCAAGATGCGTTGTCAGAAAAAAAAACTATGTCCAACAAGTTTTTTTTTATAAAAGGAGGAGGACCTCCGGCCTCTGCATTTGGGGATGCATACAACCACTTTATTAATTATTTTTACAAGACATTATAAAGTCATACAACAGTAAGACTAAAGCCACAATTTAAGCAACAACTATCCCTACTCCTATCCAAATAATGAAGGGGCGCTGATAGTTTGGGCCTAATACCAAACATACATCACAGCCAAACCTAAACATCTAAGACCTGAGATTCCAATCAGGATGCCTGCTGGGTATGGGGCACCTACCAGTCCGGCGCACTCCGAATCACGACGCCTGCCGGGTATGAGGCCGCCGCAGCCACCTGCCACCAATCCATCTTTAGTATTGTACTGCTGCACCACCTTGTCCGGCCTCTCTACCATCGACGCCACCACGACGCATGATAACGTCACCCTCCCGCGCGAGTCCCTCGCCACACATCGGGCGCCGAGTCTTCACTGCGCCACGCCGCCGAGAAACACCACCATTAATGTGCAGGATGGAACACCGCTCCACCAATTATTCCGTCCACTCGTCCCTCGAGCCCATGTACACCTCCAAGAATGACGCCACAAGAGGGAAAACGACACAATAATGCTGTCGTCATCCAATCTACTGATCTAGGGTTTCCCCCGGAGGTAGCAGATAGTGCCCTGGAACTTCTCAACAGCGATGCCTTCAACAAAGGAACGACGCCGAATAGTGCCGCCATCGCCGGCCTCGGCTGCAGCCGCAAGCAGGTCTTCACCCAGATCTGTTCCAATGGCCTCCATCCAGCGTTTTGTGCACGATTGTCCACCACCGCCGCCGCCGCGTCGCCCATTGCGAGTCCACAGCCGCCGACACATCCTCCGCCGTCCGAGGCCGCCGCCCCGGGATCCAGCCCTCGCTGGCCGCCGGAACGAAGCCACCGAGCCCCATCGAGGGCGGCCAACGGGGATGAAGAAGCTAGATCCGGCCAAGCCCGGCTAGGATCCGGCCTCTTCCCGCGCTGAAGCCACTCCCGCAGCCCTGCATCTCGCCCGCGCCCGAGGCAACACAGGCAGCACATGCGCGCGCAACGCCGCGGAGAGGGGAAATGCCCCGCGCGCCACCTTCCCTGGGGCGCGCGCGGACTTTGCCGGCGGCCCCTCCAGCGGCGGCGAAGCGAGGGAGGGGGCGAGGGGGATCCGGCGGCGGCGGCGCTAGGGTTCCCCCGTGTCGCCCGGGGGCGATGCGGGGGCGAGTGGAGGGGGGCTGGTAAGCCAAATTTTGTCCAGCAATAATACACCTGTGTTTTTTGCCTTAAGCAACCTTGCACATAAGCTTTCCTGATTCTCCGGCCAATTAAACAAAAGAGGAACTGCAGATATAATCGTGTGCCTGATTTTATAGATGAGAATGGTGCTTGGATGAAAGAACGACTTGAGGACATTTTTTCTGGCCTATGGATGTTATACAGATACTTAAGATTAGAACCTCACCATAGAGCGGGACGTTTTTTGGCTTGGCACCCAGAGCGGTCGGGGTTGTCTATTGTACGTAGTGCGTACTGGCTAGCGACACTACAACATGATGATGAGTTTGCAGAGGGTGTGACTAGTGCACATCCGGAGGGAGAGAAAGGCTGCAATGGAAGTTTATATGGCAAGCGAAGGTCCCGCAAAAGATGAAAATTTTGGCGTGAAAGGTGGAGTCAGGAGCTATTTACCAACGGCAAAAAATAAAGTATGGCATCACATACTCACGCGGGCTACTTGTCCCATCCACAGAAGGGAAGAGGAAGGGTCACACCGTGCACTAGTTGCATGCATGCGGCCACGCTATGGGATGACATGGCTAAGTTCTAGTATGTGCCACACAAAGAGGGGGTGGTGGAATCTGAGAAAGATTGGTTGTTGCTGCTGTTGGAAAACGTAGCAGAATTTTAAAATTTTCTATGCATCACCAAGATCAATCTATGGAGTCATCTAGCAACGAGGGAGAGAGGAGTGCATCTACATACCCTTGTAGATCACGAGCAGAAGCGTTCAAGAGAACGGGGTTGATGGAGTCGTACTCGACATGATCCAAATCACCGAAGATCCTAATGCCGAACGGACGACACCTCCGCGTTCAACACACGTACGGAGCGAGAACGTCTCCCGCGCCTTGATCCAGCAAGGAGGAGGG